TTCGGTAACTCTTTGAAGCAAATAAATAAATCTTTTTAAAAAGAATCATATTTCATTCCATTTTCCAGCACCTTTGTAAGTTAAGAACTATGTAAAGATTCCTTGACTATTTCAAGGTCACTTTTCACTTTCTTGACTCTTATTTTAAGGTGATCCTTTCTTCACAGGATCAGAACACTGTGTCCAGATGGGCACCCCAGGAACCAAGTGGTCTCATAGGCTCTCACGGAGCACACGGGCCTTCAGCTGGCATTCAGAACTGCTGGAGCAGTCAATGGCCAACATTCTGTCTAAGCACTTTTTGTACTCTGCTACTACAACACAGCATTACAATCAAGACACAGTAGCATTATAATCAAGATCATAACCAAGCATATAATCAAGGACAGAAGCTTCCTACATGAGGAGAGGCAGCTGAAGGAGAGCTGTCAGCTAGAAGGCACAGAAACACTCTACTTACAAAGTTTCCAGTGTGCGAAGTTCCTTCTGTCTCTGTATGCATGCCTGAATTGACAGAATCTTTTCACTGAACCGGCTGGTCAGCTCTGTTCTCCCCACCCTCTGCTGTTATTACTTCCTTGCATGTCCTCCAAGACTATGGTGACTCCTGTGACTTGTAACACAAATGTTGAAAAATGTGGCAGACACTCTAGATTGGTTGCTCCAAAGTCAATTATCCACTTTTTTGTGCAGAGGCTGGGCAACAACGCTGCTCAATTTCTTTGGCTGTGTTACTCCTTTTAGTCAATGAAGATGGAAGCACGTGTCATTGGAGAAACTTGTGAGCAAGCCTTCAAAACCAGACAGCCTGGATGCGGCTTAACCCTCCTGCAACACTGAGACTGCCACGAGGTACAGTTATCTGGTAATCAGGACAAATGCTGCCAGCTAAAAGGATGATGGAGTGGGAAGCTAGTGCCTGGCTGTTGAATAAAGTCCTCTAGTCAGTAACCAACTGTTCTCTGATGACAATGACTACCCGCAGAATTTTTTTTTTAACTTAAAAAAAGAAATTATTTGATCCCTTGCCACCTGATGTCAGATAAGCCAGCATATACATCACATAGGAATTTTATTATAGAAAGAAAGGCTCTTGAGTTGTACTTCATACTTAATCATACTGTAATTTTAATAAGATTCCCAGGTAATTCATATGTGCAGCAAGTTTGAAAAGCACTGGCTTGCACCATAATTAATTATCTTCTTACTTTCTATTCAACAAAATTCTAATATCTGTAAAGCCTGGGAGAACCACAGATTTCTCTTTTCTGGTTCCTATTTTCAGTTCAGATGACCAACAAGTACATGCATATTTCTAGCATCATCTAATACTGGCAATCAAAAAGTTTCATAAAAGAAAGTAAACTAGAAAGAAAAAATCAGAGTGTATGCACAGCAAAACGCTGGCGTTTCAAAGAAAAAAAAAACAGGTGTTACTACTTAACAACTATTTTTTCTAGAAAAAAACTATAAGATTTATGTGTCTTAATATTCTTGTTGATGAAGTGGCCAGAGTTGGGAGGATCAGAAAGGTAATTTGCAAACTGTATATAAACACATCACTGTATAAGACATAAAGGCATCATGATTATTAACAAATTCCACAAAAGCTTATTTTTAAGAAACTCTAATTTTCATAAAACACAGCATAATCCCACTCATATGAGATACCTAACAGTGTCAGTCATTTAGGCAGGACATCCTAAAGAAGTGGCTAGGGACTGAGCGGGCGGGGGGGGGGGGCGGGGGGAAGGGGCACAAAGAATGGGAAGTTCAAAGTTTCAATTTTGCAGAAGAAAAATGTTCTGGAAACAGATGGTGACGATTGTTGCACAACTGTGTGAACACACTAAAGTCACAGAATGGCACAGTTAAAAAGGCTTAACTGAGATGCTAAATGTTATGTTGCATCTATTTTACAAATCTTCTGACGATCTTTTTTTTCCAGTAAAATCTCCTGTCATGTGAAAAAACAAAACAAAACACAACTCTTTCCAGTTCACTTAACTCATTATGGAAATGCAAGCTGGAATTCTAGTGGGTCTCATTTGAGGTGCAAAATAAAGTTATGCATGCATTTATGTTTAGCAAAATGCCCAGGGAAAAGGCATTTGAGCAAGTGAACTTCACAAGAGAAGCCAAGGAAGATGTAAACCCTCCTGGGAATGAAAGAGTTGGGAGAGCAAGCAGAATGGCTAACGTGAATGCAGTCCTTGGTTTCTGAGAAGGCGGCCCTATGAAATGCCTGAACCAGTGTGTGAGGCAACAGTGCTTCGGACACTGCAGCTGAAAGTGACTTCCTAACGTTCATAACCACAGAGATGACTGATGGCCCTTGCCACAAAACTGAAAGCACAGCATCAATCCCAGAACGCTATACCCCATCACATAATTGCCCTAACACCAGTTTGTGAAAGCTTAAGATTTTTTACAAACACACACCTAAAATATCATGAATCTCATATATTTTATTTCTTGCTCTTTTTTCAACAAAAGCCCCCTTTTTAGACATTGGAAAGGATGCTCTGACTTGAAGATGGGTCAAACACTAACTAGAAACGATCATTTTAATTACCTAAAAGTGGTCAGTGAGTGATGTGTTTAAGGGACTTTAAATCAACTTAATGCTTAAAAATAACTAATGAAATTGTTATAAAGCACTTTATAAATTTTCAGTGCTGAGTAAATGGCCTACAGTTAGAATAATCATCACCATATAAAATAATTTAACAGCCATAGAGTTACCTTACTGTTGCACAGCTTAGACCAAAGAAACAATGTATTTAATACGGTAAAACTCTAGAATTAAGTGCAATAAAATAGTCACTTTAATAAATGTCAGTAATGTTCAAAAACAAACCAAAGACAAAGGAGGCTAGAATTTTCCTTTGACTGTAATCTACTCTTTTTTTAAGTGACAGAATTGATGGTGAAGTACATCAGATAATATTCAACATACATAGCATATGTATTATATGATACATGATATTACAATATTCAACATAGCATGCATAATATTTGGTAGATACTACTCCACAGACTGACAATAACACATTTCCTAAATAAGTATGGTCTGGAGAAAAAGGACAACGTGCTTTCTGCTGTTTCCTAATACTAATGAATTTTTGTTACCATATGATGAAAGCAATCTCGGGCACAGAAAACAGAACTGATGTGAGCTGACTTCGATTTCTATGCAAGCATTCGGAAGTACTGTCAAAAATGTTGAATATACACTAAGTGTTGCTCATTACTCTTTTTAACAAGTGGGAGGCTGCAGGGCCTGCTGAATTAAGTAGCAGAGAAAATGTCAAGAGTAATGAAATTGAACCCCAGGCAGATCTTAATGGCATAGCTAGTTTCTCTGTCTATAAAATCCGGGACACTCTTACTGATGTTTGTGTTAGGTAATTAACAGCTGTAAAACACACTGAAAGTACAAACTGCTAAATAAATAATGACTACCGAAGAATTTTAATCATAATGCAGTAAACAATCATGATAAAACATGGGCTTCTAACTTTATCTTTTTGTTTCTGAATTAATAATATAAGCAAGAGTCCAACTTTATTAACACAGCTTAGGACAATGTTGGATATCAATCTAGTGATTAGAAATCACATGTTGTTTTGTTTTGTTTTCCATTCTACAGCTTTGAAGGTATAAGGCTTCCCCCTACTCCTCTCTTTCCTCCCTCCCTATACTCCTCACACCTTTCCCTCTGTATTTTATAATAGTAGATAGTCACAATTCCAACATTCTGCTATTCACATGTATCATGACATTGAAGGTAACGGGGTGTTGTTTATAATACCACAGTTAACTCAATTCTATATGTAGTGAAGAAAAAAAAAGCCATGTTCTATTTCTGTCACTGTAAAAAATACCAGCGCTTGCTTTTGCTTTTTTTACTGATTAATTCCACACAGAGGTTATTCTATTACTAAAACAAACAAAAACTACCAATCAACTTTTTGAGATTCTCCACTTGTTTCATTGAAACACAAAACCACAGTAGCATTTCACATGATTTGATAGGCATAAACAACACAATGGGATCAGCTGAGTGACCTGTTGTCTATCTCTCCCACACTCATGGACTGTAGTATTAATTGCATGCTGCTCTAAGACCTCCCCAGGAATTTGTCTGCTAAGAGAGTAAGGATCAGGAAGCTACTGCTATCAGCTCTTCGACCTGCTGTGCACACTTTTGATTCCAATAGTGATATGAGCAATTGTTGTAAGATTTAAATTACAGACTGGGAGAGTTAACATGCATATCCCTCTCCCTCTTTTGCATATACACTTGAACTAACTAGCACAATAAAAAGCTACAGTGTCATAGGCCAAGGAAATAAAGGAAGAACTAGGAGATCAAGTACATTTTCATTTCTTCTCAATCGAAACACAACATCTGGAAAATAGGATCTTCACTTAAATCCAAAATACGATCAAGGTTCTGCTGACAGAGTAATTTGTTTTGTGAATTTTGTTTACTCTTGTAAATAAAACAAAGCTGCAAAGAATAGCATTCACATCACTTAACAAACAAGCTGAAATTCTGTTTACTATGGAGAGAAAGACATCCTCGATATTTTAAGGAAAAATGAAATACCTACAAAAGAACTCAAACTGGAGGATATTATTCACATTGGAATGTAAATATGTAATTTTATTTCCATGATAACCAAGACCTCAAATACCAGTTATAATGACTCACATTAATTTAATTGTGACATTAGCTTTTATAATCACAGATGTGAAAAAAAAAAGACCACTGTGTTCCAAACATAATTATCTCACCAGCATCTCGTTTCATGAAATTATTAGTTAAGAGCCTCTGAATGAATTCACATTTGATTAGTTTCACTTATTTAAGAACACTGAATAATTTAAAATTGGTTGAAATAAAAGGGAAGTCAGAGGAGCACTTCCAAGAGATAGCCTGCCATTCTCAGATGCACCCACATTTCTTCCCAAGGATAACTGGCGGTGCATACCTTCCAGGTGAAGCCACATCAACCTGCCCTTCACACTGACTACGGAAGCCACGCAGAGCTCTCCTGGATTCCTGGGATTCACAGCTTCCAGTTTCATGTTCTTTGTAAATCCACGACTGAATGATGTCTGAAAGAGAAAGAGAACTATGAGCCAGCAGCCATCACAACAAGATACCAAGAAGCAACAGGCCTGGCCATGAGCATCAACAGTCATGTGCTCACACGCCATGTGCAGAGGAATGCACGTTTAACCTAGCAGTAATGTTCGTCCTCCTCACCAGTCATGAGGAAAGTAGTGTGCAGTCTTCATTTCTGTATACCCAAAATAGCACAATGCTGGACACATGGTGGTTACCAGGAGTACATTCTCCAATTTTGGTTTCATTCTCATTCTTCCTTCTACAGGTTTACTCAAATACGCATCATTTCTTCTGTATCCATTGCTAACATTATACTTAGGCATATTTGAGGGTACAAATGTGAGTGGATCAAGTCTCTATGGGTCATCACTTTCCTTTCAAAAGATATTCGAGGGACATTCTTCAGCATTTCTTATACTCCATGTCTGCTGGAATCTGAAGTCTCAATGAGAATCTGTTTCCCTTCTGTGTTATGTTTTTTTTCTTTTTGTTTATCTGTATTTTTAAAATCTGCTTTTAAATGTTTTACAAGTAAACTGTACTCTTGGGGGTTCCAAGAGTATGAGACCATTAGACTGGCCAAGTGCCCATAACCACAATGAAGATACTAACCAGCTCCTTCACTCCCAACATCCCTTGCACTGGCCCTTCAGAAGTTAGGCCTTCCCTGACACCCAGTTCCTGGCAAGCATCCATTTGCTTTCTGTTCCCACAATACTGTCTTCTTACTCTGTGTTGTCACATAAATTCAATTTTCTATATGTAGCTCCTTTCATTTACCATAATACATTGAGCTTTCCCAGTGTCATAGCGTGAATAAATAATTTCTTCTGTTCTGTTTCTGAGTAGTTTCTCTAGTTATACAATTTATATACTGACAGGTAAAAAGACAAAGAACTATTGTCAGTGTCGTGCCATAAACATTCAGGTATAAGTGTGCTCGTGTGTGCACCTAGGTATATTAATGTTCTTAGGCTACCATAATAAAATATCACATGCCTGGCAACTTTAACAACAGAAATTTATTTTCTCCCAGTCCTGGAGATAGAAATGATCAACATGTGACACGTCTGGCTCTTTCTAACACCTCTGCACTTGGAATATAGATGGAGATCAAATTTCTGTGTCGCATGGTGTTTCTGGTGTGTGTTTGAGTCTAAATCTCATCCTCTTAAAAGGACACATGTGATTTGGGATAAGGCCCTACCCTACTCATTTTATTTTAACTGTATCTTGGAAAATAGTATCCCCAAATACAATCATGCTTTAACATTCTGATGCAGGAAGGGAGGTGGTTTATGGCTTGAAGATACAAATCTAGAGAAATACAATTCGACTTGTAATGCTTAGTTTTCATTGCCCTAAGAAGTGGACTGCTGGAGCATATGCTTAGAGGATGTCTAGTCTCCTAAGAAGCTAAGGTATTTTGCCTTCCAACTAGCGGTTACTAGAGTCTCAGTTCATCGGTGCTCAGTATTGCCAGTTTCTGAAAATTTAGCCATCCTAATAGGAAGCTAGCTATATCTCCATGTCTTTTACTTGCATTGCGCTTCTGTCATTTAACTATTGACTGCTGACAAATGACACCAAACACTATTCCTGTGTTTCTTTGTCAACTATAGTCTTTGATGAACTGTCAGTTTTTACCTAGTAGGTCTCCAACTATAAATGATATTGTCTTTCATATTACTAAGAAGCCAACTCTTTTTTTTGCTGCTCAAACACCCTTTTGCTACATTTAAGATCACATTCTGTCATTTTCATCCTGCTATCAAGCTACTCCAGTAAATTTGTTTTACATTGTATTTTTCAGTTCTAAAATTTCTTTTTTCTAGTTTCTAGTTCTTCTTATCTGTCTTGTTCATTATGTGAACATTTTCATTTAAATCTAGAGTTCCCAATTTGGGAGCTATACTAGAATCACCTACAAGTCTTTTAAAATCAACCTGCTTGGCTATACTCCAAAGCTGATTATTGGTGAAAAGAGAATCTGTATTTCCAACAAGTTTCCAGATGAGGCTGAAGATGTTGATCTATTCATTGCTCTTTAAGAAGTCCTGTTCTAATCATCGAGGTTAGTTGTAACAAGTCCTTCTACATACGAACTGTCAGGGGAATCCAACATCTGGCTCATGCTGCGTATGGATTCTATTGATTGTTTTTCCTTTAGAGAATGCATGATTTTCCAATTTATTTATATATTCAGTAACTTTGGATTAAAATCTTGACATTATAATGCTGTATTGTCAGATTCCTGATTGTATAATAGTCCAACCAACAGAATAAATGTATTTATTTTAGGAAATCGGTAACATGGTTAATCTCAAGGTGAAAACTCAGCCTTGGGGAACAGCTCAAACCTCATTCAGTTCTTTCATTCTTATCTAGTTGATTAGAATTTATGTGGCACACATGGCACAAAGCTAGGCAGAGTTTATGAATGAATTTAGAATCGTGCTCCAGGCACTCTCCTGCCTATCTTCCTCATTTTTCAATACCTGTCGTTTACCAAAATTGTATAATCTGGTTCATCAGGCCAGAAAGACTAAGTTTTATCACTCACTCAGTGACATAAACTATGAGTTGACCCATAAGTGGTCAAATCTAGTTGCCCACAGGTTAAAAACTGCAACAATCATCCCCTTGCTTTGCTTCATTATAATAGTCCTCTCCCCTTCAGGAGGCACCTGCTTTTGTTCATTCTCAGCAGCTTTTATGTTGATAGAGTTTAAAGCTATCAAATCCTGGAAGATGAATTCAACATGTTCTTACTAGCCAGGACTGGACACAAAAGTCCCTTCTAATATTATTTTAAAATAAAAAGAAAATTTTCCCAAATCACTGACAGTTGCATATTATAATTTCATGTGTTACTACATGAGTATATGTACTTTAAAATAAGATGCTGGACTTTATACTTGGTAAATACTTCCAATGAAAGAACCTCAACTGAATTTGAACTGTGGTGATGCAACAAGGTGGAGAAATCCACCATGGGGAGAGGGTTCAGGGAGGGGTGGGGGGAATCCCAGTGCCCATAACACTGTGTCACATAATGCAATGCAATTAATAATAAACACACACACACATACCAAAACAAACAGTATCGTGTAAGTAATAGAGGTTACATCATTACGCGACTCACGGAAAGTACCCTGGATATTCACATAACTTAAAAAAACAATATTAGATAGCCCAGAAAAAAATTATCCATACACATAAAGAGTCCATTTTCTCTACTCCATTAGATTTCTTTGGAAATAAGAACCCACGATATTCCAAGTGGTTATGTCTTCTGCAAGCCACTCTGCCTCATCCAAGCATATTATATATTGAGCGTCTTGCTGGTAATACCACTCAAAAGGCAGCATGAAAAACCTCTAAGTAAGTTAAAACACATTTTATCCTATTTAATAAGGGAAAGCTACAACCACATAACGTATTTCTGTTTCAGTTCACTGCTTGAGGGTAATTCATAAAGGATCAATAGCAAAACTGTTACCTGTGAGTTTATTTTACTGAGCATTTGCCTGTGTCAATCCACTTCCTAACTGCCTCTGATTGTTAAACAGCCCTGGGGAAATGTCTTCCACACATCCAATTCCACACTGGCTCTCCTCTGGTACACATGAGATGTGTGATTTAAAAATGAATTCATAATAAGCATCCCATTAAACAGCATTTGGAGCCAGCTAACGATTCAGGAAAGAACCAGTAATGCAATGCATATGCCAACAGGCAAACAACAGCAATCCTTCCTATTCAATAAACAGCCAGCCAGAAACAAAGGCGTTCCTGATAAATACACCAGCAAAGTCATTAAAACAGACTTGATCTTGGCAGCGAAATCCAGAAAGGCCCTAGGCCACCGGGGGACTTGACTACTTGCTCCACAGTTAAAAGTCATTTGAGACTCAGGAAGGGGATTCAGGGGCATCCGGAACCTACAGAACAGAAGCTTTAGTGCAACTGTCTTGTCCTGAATGAAATAACTCCTGAAACACAGAAGCAAAGGGAGATGCGAGGATTTTTCCCTCCAAGGCTAAAGGATGAAGGAAGGAATATCTCTCTTCAGGTAGAAAGCACACTTGCAAACTGATTTGAGGATACTGCAAAGAAATTCAACGACCCTAAATGGAAGACAGGCAGGTGTGTAGATTCTGCGATGTTGATCCCAACATAGTGAAGAGTCAAGGAAGGCACACTGAACTTAATGAGCCTTAAGAGCAAACAGCCTTTATCCTTGCAGGAGCTTGGTCACCCTCGGGTCTCCTTGTCAGATGACCAGAACACACATCACATGCTCTTCAATGCTAGGAAACTGCATTTGTGCACATAGCATGTCATCCAGCAGAAGGGCCATTTAATCATTTATAGAGTCCCAATGTCCAACGTTCCCACTGAATCATTTCTGAAGTCGTGAGAGCAAACTGGCCCAGAAATCAACCTCCCTAATTCTCCAACATTGGATTCTGACCTTAAAGCAGTGTTGAGCTTCTCACCACGAAGCCAAGTTGTTACTCCTGCAATACAGATCAGCTAAGGGGGTCCCAATGAATCAGCAGCTCTAGGAGCCCATGTTCAGAAAACAAGCTTTTGATTTAGGGGTGCTTTGGAAAATCCTACCTACAGCTTAAGAAATTGATTTTCAGTACAGAAAAGTGTGTCAAACACGCATAGGTCTGCCATTCTGCCTCATTCTGAAGCAGAGATTATAATTCATATCCTCTTTTATAATTCGTAGAATTGATGAAGCTTAAAGCAATAATTTTATAATTTTTTCTAAAATTCACCTCCTAAAACTATACACTCACACACTCATTGCTATTTATGCATCACAAAAATGTTATTACTATGCCAATAAATTATTCCAAATCAGATAGGTGACAGTAACTAAGGAATGCTTTACTAGAAATCAATTATTGCTAAAGTAAAAAAAAAAAAAAAAAGACTGTATTTAAACAGAAAACTTGAGGAACAAAACATCTTCTACCAACAGGTTTGTCAATATTAGAGCACATAGCAATACAATATATATCTGTGGCTACTACTGCACCAAAATTTGTTCTCTCTTCCTTAATGAAGACTCACAGCTAGGAACCAGAAGTCCACACTTGTTGTGGGATCGACTTGCTGACCACACAACGGCTGCTGAGAGACTAATTATCACAAATGGGAGGTGAAAAGGAGTGTGTGTCACTATCGGACAACAGAGTGTAGAACCTGGATCTCTTGTCCATCTACTGGCTCACTCATGATGAAGTCAACCCAACAATCTCTGCAATGAGAACCACCCACTAATCAGGAACATCTTGGACTCATTCAGAAAACAGAAAACAATTTTTTAACTGGTTGCAGATAATACACCTGTAACAGTTGATCAACTGGTCATCTTGTCAGCCTTATCCCAGCATCACCCTTACAGAAACACCATCTGAAAGAAGGACTTTATAAAAACAATGGAAGCTTTCTGATCCCACAAGGAACTCGGCAGTTCTCCATACAAGCTCCATAAACAGAAGCAATTTATAAAACTTATGGCAAAGAATTTGCATACAATAAAAGAAAGCAGAAGGGAGGAAGTGTCTTACATTTCTGAAGCAGAAGGGAGGGGCTTCTTCTGCCCCAAGTTGCTTGTGATAATCTGCCCAGTCAAAGTCCTGGCCAGAGAAACCTGCAAAAGAAAAAAAAAAAACCCCATGAGTTAAGCTAAATCCAAGACAAACAAGCAAGGTCCAAGCGTGTCAGTGATTAAGAAAAGAGACACAACTCCAGGTACGTAGAGAATGAGCCCAAGTGTATCTACCAGCACTTCCAATTTCATGAGAGTCAAATGAAGTGTTTTGGAAAATGTAAAGCACTACGCTTAGATAAGGGATACCATCAATTATCATAACGACATTCCTGAGACTAGATGAAGGGTCCAACTTCCTTGTAGAGCCCCGGTGGCACCTGTCAGTGGGGAGACTAGCTTCAGGAGAGAAGAACTGAGGTTGGGAGTGTACACAAAACACAGTCCCACAATCCGTTTCACAGGAAATGGATAAAGAGTACCCTCCTTCGAGTAAATTCTCTGAGATGGTGGAAAGTTTGTCCTCAGTGTTTTTGAGCATGGTCAGATTTTACTGGAAAAACCAGCATGAGAAATGATTTTTAGAAGATAAACAACAGGTGTAGCACAGGGCAAATGAAGAGTAGAGGTTTGGAGATGAAGCAGCCCCTAAAGATGGGAAGGAAGGGGAGGAAAAACAACTATTTCTATAAGACGAGTTCAATTTGATACATATCCTAGCCAGGCGATTTGTTTCATTCCTTCCCTTCTTCTCTCCCTCCCATTCTTCATTTTTGAGGTAGGATGGATTATGCAATAAACATTTCTCCAACATATTAAGATTTGGGAGGAGATGGGAACAAACAGTTCTGAGTCATTAAACAAGGGAGGTCTGACCTAGGCACAAGAATATTCCTTGACAGGGGAACAGCTGCACTGAACAAGCATGCCAGGAGAAGGGGAGTGAGATGTTAAAAATATTCTGAAACCTACCATCTAATGATGATGAACCAAAAAAGTGCAAACTGTCACTCATAATCTTTATCTTGTGTACTCTTTATGGGTTGATGTGTATGTAAAATAAATCTCTATGGGATTCTTAAGACTATTTTTGATCCAAGTCCCCCGACTTTTTCTCTCTGTATTGTCACAAATTCTGCAATTGCAACTTCTCCTGACATGGAGACATTTTCAGGAAACCTCACAGTTACAGAGCAACTAAAACTCTTCACAAAACAGTCTCAAGACACTAGTTGCTTTCTACCTCCATGTGTGTGCTGAAGGACATAACTGTATCATTATAATTAAGTAAGCAAAATGGAAGGGGGACATTTAACAAAGAAAGCAGCTGTCTCCCCAAGCCCAGAGACTGATCTCTGACCTGTTCTGAGCACCAGCGATGGCCTCTTTCTTTCATAAGACTTGCATTCTAGGGGCCAGTGCTGTGGCATCCTGGGTGAGCCTGCCACCTGTCTTGGCTGTTCTACTTCCCATCCAGCTCCTGGGAAATGTGCCTGGAAAAGCAGCAGAGGATGGCCCAAGCACTTATGTCCCCAAGTCAAAAGACTCATTTCCTTGCAGAAAGAAGCCACCAAGCTGTGAGATTCCAATACTTCAATTTTTCTAACCAACCTTTCTCCCTTAATCTTTACCCCAGCATTGTACCCAAGCTAAATGGCTCTTACATCACATGTTTTTTGAAACAAACAAATTAAGTTTCCTCTGACTATTTCCCCCCAAAATAACAAAGCAAGTTCCCAACAAGTTAACAGAAGGTGAGTTTCATCACAATTAACAGGATCCTGCACTTTGGGTGCAGTTTCTGTGTCCTCATGCTCACCTGTATAAAATAGAAGACTCTTGTCTTTAGATGCCTCACCTCGGGTTGGTGAGAGGTTACCTAACAGTGCACAGGTAACTGAAACCGAAGAGGCCATTGAGACTCAGACCCAGCTCTGTGGGTACCTGGATGGACCAAGGAAAAGTAAGCTAAATCCTCAGTGCCCAATTTTTCTCAGCTACAAAATCCAAAAATAAATAGAAAAGTTTTAAGGCTTCCTTCTGACGCATGCAGTAATTCAGAGCCTTAACTACTAATGAGTTTAAAGCTGCTACTCAAGGTTTTCTTCTTTCTGTGGTTCATCCCTTTCTCTCTTCAAGAAGAACTAAGAAGACAAAGAGATGCCATTTTCAAGTTACGCCTCTGGAAGACAAGCTAAATGCCTGCAACACAAAGATCACAATTGTCTCTCATTTTTGGCCAACTGATATCAAAGTCCAGATATCGTGATTGATATCAAAGTCGAGATTTCCCTGTCCAGATCTGTGTTGCTTCCTTCCTTAGCAAATGTGAGCTATGGAAGACTTCGTAAGATCATGGAAAGAGGACAGAGAAAGGAAAATTCCAGAGGGATGAACAACAACAAAGTATTTTCAGAACAGCATGGCATTTGGATATTCTTTATGATCAGTATCTGCTCTGACAAACCTTTCCTCTTTCCTTCCCTGACACAAAGGTGTGTCACTGGGTTTTTCATAACCAATTTTTGTCAGAAAGTATCATTCCCAACCCTTCTATGGATCCAGTTCTTAGGCTCAGGAGAGCCATTTTTAATATGATGATTTCTAGTTGGGTATCTCTAAACTATCATTAAGCACTCAGCCCTCAGAACTCACTCATTGCTTGAACACTGCAACAATATAGACTTCTCCTCCTACTACTCTTAGGGACCTTTATTCACTGCATTACTTAAAATTCTTTTCCTTTGGGCGGATAATGAGCTCTCTTTGTAAGGAGGCTTTGTGACAGCTCAGAAAACAACTTCAACACAAAAACAAATTGCTGTGGAATATACAATAGACACAACAGGGGTCAATTATACTCATTAATCAACAAAGACAGAACAACAAAAACCCAGGTTTAACTGTAGCCAGGAAAACACATTTTAAATCTGGAGAGAAACAGGAGAGAGGAGAAGAAAACAAAAAGAAACAACACCCCTTAGGCTGTTAAAATGTGCAACAAGCTGCCACGGGAGATCGTCAAACCACAACTGCTAGAATTATTTAAGCTTTTAATGGGGTTTATTCTCAAAGAACTTCCAACTGTTACAGGCCCAAAAGGAAAGAGGCTGAGCACTCATTTCTTTACAACAAAAATGAATTGACATAAAGCAGCTCCACTTGAAAACATGACAATTGGCAGTGCAAAGAGACAACTATTTGGAAAACCTTTTGGCAGTAAAATTTTCACGTCTTTTGACACGATTTCATTCTGGGAAGCTATCCCATAAAAATGACCCTAGAAACTTGAAAACTGTTAATATTGAGACTTGTAGCACGATGACTGCTAATAATTATGGGAAGAAAAGAAAAACAAAACAACCTACCATCCACCAACAGAAAATGACATGAAACACGGCCAAGTTCATGGAATGCTATGTAGGCATGCCATTGTGTACAGTATGTTAAAAAAAAAAAAGTAATGGAAAACAATAACATCTAGGGCTTTAGATGAAAAGATAACCAAAAAGATACCCCCCAAAATTTGAATAAAACATGCAAGATAAGAAGAAATACAACAAAATCAAAAATACCAAAATGAGACTCACTACTACACTTTTCTTAGGGTATTTTTGAACTTTCCATGGTTTTGACCATGGTCATGAAATTATTTCAGTAACCATTATTGGAAAACATAGCATCTTTGCCATATTTTAAGACAAAATCAAGTAAATGGGTAATTACCCAAATATCACTCTCTTTAGCATGTGGGAGACTTTCCCACAGTCATGTGCCCTCTTCTGCCATCAGAATCCTGATTTAATCTAGCTTCTAGAAGCAGCTGGGCCTCTTTTCAGCAAGAAGAAATAAACACGGTGGTTTGATGGGCATGCCTGTGGCATGGGATAAGGGAACAATTTATACAAGTATTTCTCTCTTATAAGACACACAGGAATAAAGGCTCTTCTTTCACGTGGGGTGGAATTCCTTTAAGGAATTTTACACATATGGCAGGTACTTGGGTCAGTTGTTAAGACTCCACTTGGGTTGTCCGCATTGATATAAGAGTGCTTTGGTCCTGGTCTTAGCTCTACTTCTAATTCCAACTTCCTGCTTATATGTACCCATGTGGCTGGAAGGGATCCAAATCGCCTGAGACACTATTGCCATACCCCAGAAAACACACTAGCAGAAAGCTGAATCTTGGAGCACAGCCAGGCCTCTAACCGAGGTACTCTCATGTCAGATGGAACCATTTCAAGCAAGGGCCTTAAAAACTGTGCCAACACTCAGCCCTTAACAAATTATTGTTTAACAATTAAACTAATGTCACTAATAAGGCAATGACACTTTCTAAAACAAGGAAGGGAAATTTAGCCAAAAATAACTCACTGTTCTGTCTCCAGTTTCCTGAACCTTTGGGCTTCTTTTTGGGACAATAAAAGATAGACAAGGCAGTGATTCAACTTTTAAAATTATTTTTAATTTTATTTGAAAGGCAGAAAGATGGAGACAAGAGATTTTGCACCCACTAGCAGCTTCCCCAAATGCCCACGTTTTCTAAGGTTGTCGTCCAGAATTCCATCTAGATCTTCCATGTGGATGAAAGAGATTCGAGTGTTTGGATCATTGTGTGATGCCTTCCAGGATACATTTGCAGAAAGCTGAATTCAAAGCTGGCATTCAAACCACACATTCTGATCTCATGTACAAACTTAAGCCACTGTGCCAAACACTCATTCCTGGCACACCTTTATTGAGTTCTAGCTTCTAGAGCAGTAACCTGAAACTCAACACAGTATGACAAAGGCAAGGATGGGGAGAGATGCAGGAATTAACAAAGAATCATTTCAGGAATTACTGGAGAGCAAACAGAGATGTTCTTTGCTTCAGAGAACATTTACTTTATTAAATATTGAAACAGCATGTGTAAATAAGAAGCTTATTTAGCTTTTAGCTCAACGCCTCTTGGAAAGGAAACATGATACAATAATCTTCAAAGATCAGCAAAACCAGGATCCTGATGTATCTAGGATTTATGGCACAACAGATCTCATGTTCTATGAGTAGGCTCTCACTCCTTTAGCAGAAAATTCCGTAGCTCATTGAGCAGCTCTATC